AGTTCCAAGTCTTTCTTGGTATAAGAAATATAAAATAATAATTGTTCAAGCCGTTAGAGATAGAGACGTAGAAATCAATACAACAGGCATAAAAACATTAGTTTATCATGTAATGTAAACATAGGAAACCGTTGGGTTTAAACAGATGTTTGGTTTAAACAAGACAAAAAAAAGCTAACAAAAGTTCGAAGACAATCTCACAATAAACCTTCCATTGTATTTGTAATGAGGTGAACTCTCAGTTGAAATTTTATTTTCTAATTATAGACTGAGGGAAAACTTACTTTAAAATCAACAAATATTTCTTTGATGGGTGCCATTAACATATTTACTTAAATCTAAATTCTCTTTATTTAAATCAAATATATTGTTTACTTGATTTAAGTAAACAATATTTGGTTTAAATAAAAAGAATTTAGATTTAAATAAATATGGCACCCATCAAAGAAATATTTGTTGATTTTAAGGTAATTTTTCCCTCAAGTTGGCTTTAAAACTTTCTGACTTCTTATTTACAACTTTTTACATTATATGTAAAAGTTGTTTTTCTTAATTTTGTTAGTATAATTTTACATAGATTAATAGATTCTGGAAGTGTTAGTGTGCGAGAGTAAATAAGTGAGATTAATGTGACTTGTGCTGTTACTAAATTGAAGCTTTACTGTGATAATCAATGTTTTTATACATCTACCCGTTTTTATAAAGCTATATTAATAATTAAATTTTCATTAAAATTTAATTAATAACAGACGTGGTGTTTTATTCATACAAGAGCATTAACGTTCAGAATGAAAGCAATGAATAAAAGAACAAATGTGTGAGGAGGAGCTCAAGGTTCTTCGACTTTAGTCTTTTGGCAAATTTACCATTTGTTTACAAGTATCTCTTTGTGCCTTTGGAACCTTCAGTTTATAGAGTTAAAATTAGTAATAGAACCTTCAGTTTATAGAGTTAAAATTAGTAGTAGGTTACTAGCAAGTTTAGAATTAGTTATTAATGTAACTTCCTCAGCAGCAAGCGTGACATTTTAAGACATAATTTGTTTAATAAATCTACCCGTTTTTATAAAGTTATATTAATAATTAGATTTTCATTAAAATTTAATTAACAACAGACGTGGTGTTTCACTTATACAAGAGTATTAACGTTTGTCAGAATGAAAGCAATGAATAAAATGGGTAGATGTATTAGACGGTAATTGATAAACTGATAAATTGATAAACTGTGAGTAAATTATTTGAACATAATCAAAAAGCATCCTGGCAGTAAGAATCATTGGGCATTGTTTCTACTTTCGTCACTTCCCGATATTATTCGCGGTACGACTCTTAGGCTCCTATTAATAGTCGTTACTTGAAACTTGTTCTACGTGAAATACTCAAATCTAAATTTAGAGTTAGATGAGAATTTTTTATTTCACTTACATAATATATGTAACATTTGCAATCGTGATTCAGCTAAGGAATCTCAGATCTAACTCTAAATTATAAAATCTAAGTGTCTCACCTGAAGTAAATTTCAAGCAACGACTGATAACACGGACCTCACATCGATAACAAATAAGCCACTCGATATTCTGACTAGTAACGTTCAATGACAACGAAAACAAGTGCCTACGAGATAAATCGCCACGGCCGACGCGGAAGGTTCTCGGGAAGTGAGCGAAAAAATTCTGGCGGAAAGGTTAAGTGCGTCGCGAGAGCAGTGAACGAGGCTCGCGCGGACTGAAATCGTCGTCGTCGCCGGGACGACCGGGGATCTGTCACTCACCTTGGGATTGCCGTTGTTGAGCCACGGTATGACGTTGTCGATGAACATGCCGATGTCCTGGCACTCGATGCTCTTGCTGAAGTCGCCGAGATAATTCAGCAACGCGTTACCGACGTTCAGCTTCTTCTTGATGTCCGTCGTTGACAGGAGCGGCATGAAGCCGTCCATATCACGCGGATTCACCGCCATGGTGGATGGCTAAACGCACGTCCCCGTGCTCCTCCTCGTTCTCGTCGTCGTCGTCGTCGTAGTCGTCGCCTCCTCGGCCAGCACTCCCGCGCGGGTCGCGTAACAAGGGCGATGGGTGTCGCGGAGAGGGTTCACTCGCGCACGTCAACACACACACTCCGTCACCGCGGCGGTGCTTGCGATGCTTACGCGCGGAAACGTGTATCTCACGTAGACCTTCGTCATGCCACTGAGGAGAGCGTCCTCACGACAGAAAACAGACACAGACCCGCACGAGACGGTCAGCGCGATACTGTTCTTCGCGATTCAGCCGAGGATTTCACCGTTGTCCTCGCAGCCGTCCTCGTCGTCGTCGTCACCGCCGCCGCCGCCGCCGCCGCCGCTCGTTGTAACGTCCGTACGCGGCGCGACCGCCTCGCTCGTCACTCGCACGATCGTCCGAGTCTGGACGTCACACACTGTACGCGCGAACGAACGCGCAGTCAGCACTCGAGACTCGTCGTCGTCGTCGCCGTCGTCACGCGCGTCGCCCCGTTAACACACGTCGCAAGCCGTGACCACACGATCAAACGCGGCGAAACGAGATCATCGGCACCGTGCACGCGACGCCATTTTAGCTCCGTGTACCGAGGCGCTCGCGAGCCGAGTGCGCCCGAGCGCCACTCGCAGCGCCTCGCCGGCCGCCGCGGCAACTACGTCACCGCGCAACGGCGGTCGGTAAAAAAAGGCGCGCCGCGTCTGTTGTTGTCCCGCGCGTCAGTGTTGTCGTTCAGCCGCGATCCGTTACACGCTCCCAACCGCCGCGAGCGTCTTTCTATCTTCGTTTAACATTCAGTGAGCAACAAAGATAGACAAAGATAGACGCTCGCGGTCGTTGGAAGCGTGTAAAGGATGGCGGCCATCGTCCTTCCAAACGGTTACGCGAGCCGGCCGAGAGCCTACGATTGCGACGTATTCGCGACGTGCCCTTCGCATAGTGATATCGTGTGTTTATCGTGTGTTTATCGTGTGTTTCGCGCTGGCCGTTATCGGGAAAGTTCCAGAAATGACGCCGCGGTGATGAGCAGCGTCCAGTCGGCAATTGCAGTTGCACATGGAGGTAAGTCAAGAAACGTTTTTGAACGGGCGATCGACGCCCAGACAGCACAATATCCAAAATCGGATCATAAGACGTCTTTAAGACATCTTTAAGATAAGTTTATAAGGTATTGTCGTACCCCTTGTCTACAACCTTGCTTTAATTTTTAAGTTGTAAGATATTGACCAACCACAGTTAATTATTTTAAAAATAATCGACTGTGGTTGGTCAATTTCTTACCTCTTGTCCACAATCTTGCTTTAATCTTTAAGCCGTAATAAATTGACCAACCACAGTCGATTATTTTTAAAATAATCAGCTGTTAATTTCTTACCTTTCGTTAGTCTAACAAATATATAGTCGTAATATACGGATAGCCACTTTGTTATATGTATTGTAGTAATTAAGTTGCAGAGCTACATAAGATTTGTGGTTTGCTTATAGAAATTTAATACTAGGAATTATTAAAAAAATTTCAGTGATTAAATACAGCTATTTCAATAATTATTTCAATAAGTATTTCAATAATTATTTGGCTAATGTTCAATTATTATTTAATTAATTACTGTGATTTTGTTATGACAAAAACAAATAAAGTGAAACTAGCCATAATAAATTGACCAACCACAGTCGATTATTTTTAAAATAATCAGTTGTTAATTTCTTACCTCTCGTTAGTCTAACAAATATATAGTCGTAATATACGGACAGTCATTTTGTTATATGTATTGTAGTAATTAAGTTGCAGAGCTACATAAGATTTGTGGTTTGCTTATAGAAATTTAATACTAGGAATTATTAAAAAATTTCAGTGATTAAATACAGCTATTTCAATAATTATTTCAATAAGTATTTCAATAATTATTTGGCTAATGCTCAATTATTATTTAATTATTTACTGTGATTTTGTTATGACAAAAACAAATAAAGTGAAATAAACTAGCCGTAATAAACCACAGTCGATTATTTTTAAAATAGTGCTTGGTCAATTTATTACGGCTTAAAGATTAAAGCAAGGCTGTGAATAAGGGATTAAAAACATTCTAAAGACGTCTTATGACTCGATTTTGGACATTGTGCTGTCTGGGTGATCTCTCGCGAGTCACGCAGCACGCAAAGATACGGTATTCATTCGACTATTCGGTATTCGGTATTCGATTGACATCGTCCTTCCAAACGGTTACACGAGCCGTCCGAAGTCTACGATTGCGACGTATTCGTAATGCGCTCTTCGCATAATGATATCACGTGTTTCCCGCTGGCCGTTATCGGGAAAGTTCCAAAAATGACGCCATGGCGGTGAGCAACGTCCAGTCGGTAATTGTAGTTGCACACGGAGGTGGCTAAGAAACGTTTTTGAACGGTCGGTCGACGATCTCTCGCGAGTAACGCAGCGCGCGAAGATACGATATTCATTATCGATTAATCCTGCAAAGCGCGATGGCAATTATGACCGTGAGAATTGTCGATTCGTCGAGCTATCGCGAGCAATCCCAAGTAGAACAGGTTGTCTATTGATTAACGTTTTTGAAGTTAACTTTTGGAACGTATCTATAAGATAACAAGTCAATGTCAAGTAATTCGTCTCCATTAATATGACATCAATTAAATAACAATTTACAGTTAGTTAATAGCTAGTTTATTTATGCATCTTATAGTTATCATTTGGTATATATTTAATTTGTATCCATGTACCAACTTGATACTTTTATATCTAAATGATATCTTTTTGGATATTAAAAGTTATCTTTCGGGCGGACATTAGATAATCCTTTCAGTAAACAAAAACTTAACTTTTTTACCGAAAATAAAGTTATCCTGACTTAATTTTACACAGTAAAATGGAATATTTTAAGATAATGTTGTTCTATTTGGGATACCGCGAAGCCGGAAATTCGAATTGCAAACGAACGGCCGTAATGGCGGACGCGGCGGCGCACATTACACGCTTCTGCACGGCGTATATTTTCGCAATGAGGTTTTAATGAGGATAATAATATATACATATAGTTACATTCACATATACAATATTAGGTATGTACAATATAATTTGTTACCGCTACCGTCGCATCTCACTGTTGTCGGATCTCGTGCCGGCGGCAAGATTTTTCGAACGTACGCGATAGCGCTGTGATTATGTGTGGAATTTCGACGTATAATTTTCGCGCCCCCGAAGCTCGTACACTCTCCTTTATGGATAATAGAATGGAAGAATCGCGCGTCTACAAGTCCTACTTTCGAGCCTCTCTATTCTCTAGTAGTCTAGATTCACACGGAGAGCCAAGGTGATGTGAGAGACGGTGCCGCGTTTCCCTCGCGAAAATTCAATTCGGGAGAGTCGTTCATCAAGTCCGACGAGTAACGTCGCGTCGTGGGTCTCAATCGATCTCTCTTTGTTTTCTTTTTTTTACAGCGTACTTGAGCAACGATAAGAATAAATAATTCGAATCAGCGGATGCGTATTTAAACAGCGCGCTTGGTCGCATTTTGTACATGCAAAGATTCCGGCTCGCATTCGTATCCTTGCATTTAGCGTCATTAAATGTAGAATACAAATGCGGGCCTTAAAGGAGATAAACACTGTGAAAAAAGCTCTTCTTATCGAATTTTTTTGTGACGTCCATAAAGCAGGTAGATAAATCAATGTTTTTGCATTGAATTAGTCATTTTTTGAACTGTTGAAAAATATTTTTCTATTTAATGAAATACATTTTTATTTTGGTATAAAATGTGTCTATAGTAGGCTCTGCACCTGGAGTCCTTAAAAGTCATCTGAAATAAAAAAAGCCTAAGATTTTCTTCAAGCATATGAATGTAGTTTCAGTCAAGCGTACGAAAATTTTAATATTTTAATTATTCGCAAAATAACGCACGTTTAAAAAAAATCTTCGAAAACCGTTCAAAATAAAAGTAACATTTTTATTGGCATTTTTTGAGGAAATGTTAATCGTAAAAAATCTGTACGCTTAACTGAAACTGCACACATTCATATACTTTAAGAACATTTTAGGTTCTTTTTATTTCAGATGACTTTTAAGGACTCCAGGTGCAGGGTACATTTTATAGCAAAATAAAAATGTATTTCATCAAATAGAAAAATATTTTTCAACAGTTTAAAAGATGACTAATTCAATGAAAAAACATTTATTTATCTACCTGCTTTCTGGGTACACAAAAAATTGGTTAAAAAGAGTTTTTTTCAAAATGTTTAACTTTCTTAAGCATTTGGCTCCTCGCCGCAGGACTCTCGACTGATGACGTCAGAATCGAGAAATTACACGCTCAAAATTCTCGCGAGATATGTTGAAGTAAAAAGACGTGTCCACCAAGTGACGCCCGCAATTTCAAGCAGACTTGCAAAATAGTCCGTACACTTTCCCTTTATTCGAACAGTCAATAAGTAACCGTGAAATTGATGTGACATGCAACCTTTCTCTTTAGACCACCTTTCCTCACGATTTGGTCACGTTAATTTTACGGCTATTTGTCGATTACTGGAGCAATGGGAAAGTACTCGGACTATTTTGCGAATCTGCTCGATCGGTTGCAAATATTTCGTAAACGTGTCTCAACATATTTCGCAAGAGTTTCCAACGTGTATTTTCTCGTCTCTGACATCGTCAATCAAGATGAGGGACCACAGGCTTTAAAGAGTAAATTACATTACCGAAAAGTGGCAATAATGGACTTTGTATACGCGCGCAGAAGCCACGATGTATCTTGAAAACATGATATTTCCCAATAATCGATATTTATCTCGCTCGCTTTTACAATATCGACGATTATAAACTACGTTGTGTACGCGTTGCGCATGCAGACGAGTCCCTCTCTCTTCTTTTCCCTGCGCATCGCGATCGTATCAATTGTAAAATAATCTTTGTTAGAAAATATAATTGCCACCATGTGTTGTCCTCATGTAAAAATTGACAAACGCTGTATGAAAGGTGTCGTCAATTAACGCCGATCGCGGGAAATCACGTTGAAAATAAATAGGATCTGTATATGCACGTGGTATGTGTGTGTGTGTGTGTATATATATGTACATATAACTTATAGCTTAAATATTTGTGTATATATTACTCTTTATAAATAGCACATTGCACCCTTTGCACTAAAATATTCGTCGACGATTGGACAATCCAACTGAATATCTAAAATCGCTATGAGCTATATCACAATGTGTGGCGATAGAAATGATTGGAGCTAGATCACTTAACTTACTTGTCTCGAGTCGCGGAATTCGTTCGTGCGTGCCGAACGCAATAATCTCCTCCGATCTATTATTATCACGAGCGAATATAACACATTGGACTGTCCAGACTGCCTGCTTACGATAATTTGTATTTGCAAATCACACTTCTCGCTTGTCGCGCTCAATCGATCGGCTATAAGGTACTTTGTTGATAGATACGTGTTTGTTGTCCCTATCGCGCATGGTTGGAGCGAAAAAATATTGAAAAATATCTGGCTAAACTTGGCGGGTGTGTGTATGTGTATTTGTGTTTGTAACACGCTATCGTAGGGGAGATCAGGGCTGTCTGTTCTCACGGGGATTATACACTGAGGGAAAAATTACCTTAAAATCAACAAATATTTCTTTGATGGGTGCCATTAACATGTTTATCTAAATTCTCTTTATTTAAACCAAATATCGTTTACTTAAATCAGGTAAGCAATATTTGATTTAGATAGAGCTTAGATTTAAGTAAATATATTAATGGTATCCATCAAAGAAATATCTGTTGATTTTAAGGTAATTTCTCCCTCAGTATAGAGTGTCTACACCGCTATCTCGGGTGTTAAAAGGGTGTTAGTTGTCTCTGCCATTCCAACGAGTAGTTGAAGAAGCTTCATGTAGGGGTTCCAGAAAAAAAGCTTTTGAATTCCTACTCGCTGGAGTGGCAGAGGCGACTACTTCTTAACACTTTGGGTAGCAGAGGTCACATAGTCCCCGCAGACAGACTCGATCTCTCCTAGATACTATATGCAAGCTTCGTAGAAGCTCCGAATATGAAACAGCATGTCGTGTCGAATTCTGCGAGATTCACGACCTGCACCCAAAATATTCCGTCAAAATGTTGGAACCACTCGTCCTTTGCGAAGCAAAGCATTACGAGTGATTCAAGTTCAATTTTATCTGGAGTCTTGAGATAATTTGAACAGTACATTTTGTTGTACAGATCTGTGTGTGTTGAAAGTCGTACCTTTTCTTTTTTATACTATGCTTATGTACACGTCGTTCCGTGTTTTCGGAGAGAATCTGACTATCGACGTCATAATTGGCATCTCGTAACTTTCTACAGAATTCTCCTTACTGAATATTCCACGGATAAACTTAATGAATGTAATGCCTAACTGATCGTCTTGGAACATGTCTCGAACGCAACCTTGTTTATGGTCTAATTAATTACTTAGATCGTTTGATATCTCGCTGTAGTAGCACGACGCTCTATCAATAATAGTTTCTCAAACGCTTCGAGAGACTTCAACGTGATAGCAGTCGCGTATAAAGGCAAGCAAAAAATAGAGTCGATGCAACTCGGAATAAATTTGTGTGTACGACTATCTAGATTGGACTACAAATCTCCTAGAATTAACTACATATTGCTTTCTTAGCGAATGGAGATGTTTCGTTAGTTTACCAAATGCTAAATATTAGAAAGATTTTATAGAATAGATTCGAAAACGTGTGCCCCCCTCCCCTCCCCACAAGCGACAATCTAAGGTAATATCGTGTAAGCGTATCCACGAAAAACGTCGTTAGGCTTCTTATAGTGTCCGAGAGGAGCCCGCGAGACACTTCCTTTTTTTTCTCCTTTTCTTTTTTAACACGAATCCTAAATCAATCGAAAGCCAAACGATTACACCCCTACCTAAATGTACATGTAGATCATTTTCTAATGAACAGAGTAACTTGATACCGAATAAGACAGTCGAATGCAACGATACCTGCAGGATCGAGCGATATTGCCCCGAAAATACGATCCTTTGTTCCGGCCTACATCGCACAATAAAAAGAGTCTACAAAGTCATGACAACGACGTACGAGTAGAAACGTACAGTATAACAGCGTAGTACGAAAACAAATCGCCGTGTGCTCGATAACCACAACGGAAAGGATGTGCCTTAATTTTACGTTATCATTTTATAACGATCTTGAACACTTTCTATTGTTGAATCCTCGCCGCTCGGTCGCGCAAGTCCCTCCGCGATAAGGCTATTGTTGTTGTTGCAGCTGTTGCAATAATGGACACACCTCGACCAAGGGAGTCCCCAGAATCTCTTGGCATACTTGGTTCATGTCCGGCTCCATCATGAGCGAGGAGATCTGATCCTCCGTTAGCATTTCCACACTGTTTCCGCACGATTATTCGTTAGTAAAGAGCGACAGATCATACCGAACAGAAAGTGATCGGTCGAGAACTCACCTAGCTAAGCTTTCGCTGTCCGACGTCTCCTCGTCGGCATTGAGATAGCTCATCGTCTTCTCCAACGGACTGGGAACCTTCTTCCCTTTGGTCTCCGACTTCTCGGACTTTTCAGACTTCTCCTTGTCTCTCTCCGCTGTCTTTGGCTCGCTGGAACGTCGTTCCGTTAAGCTGGATATGTTTAGCATCATCATACCATGATTGAGTAGTTCCTTGACGCGTTCTCCCGTACCACCGCTCCATAACATGTCGAGAGATTGTCTTCTACTTGAAGTCGCTGAAACGACAACGCATTCATACGTGTTCTACAAAGTAATGAGCAAAAAGACGTCGGCAAAGGTCACACTCATTACTTACTGGAACTCCCACCGCTGGTCTCACCGCCAGCTGAACTCCTGGTTATCCAATTGGCTAAGCTACCGTCGAGCTTGCTTCTGTTCTTCACCGACGGACTTCTCGTAACCTCGGCCTTCTTCTCCTCGCTCAGAGTAACTTCGTTCGCTTTCGATATCGTGGGTAAGGATTTCTGAGTAATGAGCCTCTTTCGATTGGACTGCTCTTTCAGCGGATCAACGGTCGCGCTGATCGGCTGAGCGGTCTCCGGGCTCAGGTCCATCGGCAGCGGTTTATAGGGAATCTGATCCTCCTCGTCGGAGTACACGTCATTGTTGTAATAAATCTCGTCCGGCGAGCTTTTTAGACTGATCTCCGTCCACTCCTCCCCGTTTTGAGTCGCGGCTTTGCTCTTGCTGTCGTTCACCGGCGATTGGATTTTCACTCTCTTCTCAATGGGAGAGATAATTGCCGACAGATCCGCCAGACCCGGTGCAGAAGAGCTCGTGTGATTCAGAGGTACGATATGTTTCGAGTCGGTCGTCGCGATGCTCCGTGGACGGTCACGTTTTATGTATTTGCGCGGCTCGGTGGATGAGAGATTCAGATTATTTAGGCCCAGATATTCCGACGACGAGTCTCTGTCGATCTGAGAGGAGGACGCGCGTGTATTAACTTACAAGTAAACCGATCCAAAGGTTTAGTAAACCTACTCAAAGGATTTCTTTTTAATTTGATACAAATGTAGAAGTACAAAAAATATTTAGGTCATGTTTTTTTATTTTGGGTTTGAGTTTCGCGGATAGTTTATAGTTTTTTAATGTTCTCACTCCTATCATCAATAAGTGCAACAAAAATGCATAAAATATAAAATTGAATACAAGATATAGGCGTTTTTGGTTTGCTGATTATGAATATGAGGTCAAATGTGTAAAATTATTTGTATAAGTAATAAAATGTTAACAAAAAAAATGTTTAAACATGTAAAAAGTTGAAAAAAAATTATTTTTATAAATAATTTTTCGGCTTGACGGAGATTCGAACCATTATTGATTAACTTAGCACAGATTTGAAATATTTCAGTTGGAATCTCAGCTAAAAAAATTTGGAATGATTTATGTCTCAGCTTTATGCAGATTTTGTTAAAATTTTTATTAAAATTGCCAGATTTTTTTCGGTTTGGCTGAGATTCGAACCATTTTTGACCGATTTAGCACAGATTTGAAATATTTCAGTTGGAATCTCGGCTAAAGAAATTTAGAATGGTTTCTGTCTCAACTATGTTGATTTTGTTAAAATTTTAATTAAAATTGCCGGATTTCTCTCTCTCTCTCTCTCTCTCTCTCTCTCTCTCTCTCTCTCTTTCGGTTTGGCCGAGATTCGAACCATTTTTAACTGATTTAGCACAGATTTGAAATATTTCGGTTGGAATCTCGGCTAAAGAAATTTAGAATGGCTCGTGAGTCAACTATGCCGATTTTATTAAAATTATTTAACTATATCTTGTATTCAATTTTATTTCTTTTGCATTTTTGTTTGACGACAGGAGTGAGAACATTAAAAAGCTATGAACTGCCTGTGAAATTCAAAGCGGTTCAAAATGAAAAATACGACTTAAATATTTGTTGTACATTTGTGCCAAATTAGAAAGAAATCGGAGTATACCTTTTGGGTAGGTTTACTTGTTAGAAAATGCAAATCATCGTGTGCCGCAACTCAATACTTACTCTCGTAGGCATAGGACACGGCACATTCGGACTTATTTTGTCGGGAAGTCGCAAATATTCGTCGCTAGTGTAATCCGTGCTGTCCGGAGATCCGGTTACGCTGGAATCCGTCGGAGTCGCTGTATTGGTCGGCGCGGTGGAGTGATCGCCCGCGTCTCGTGGCTTGTCATAGTCGTCCGTGCCGTCGTATCTTCTCGTCTGTCGATGAAGACGTAACGAGAATTTTACATACAGCTCCGCGTATCAGCATTTCGCTCTCTCGCATAAGCACACAATCATGTATACCCTGTGAATCTCGTCGCTAATTTTTTCAAGGTTTCGTAGCGCTTCCGCGTATGTCATTTTCGCCTCGCCGACTGATCTCTCCAGCGCACTGACTTTCATCTTCTGCTCCTCCAGCATTTGATTGAAATGTGCTTTCATTTCATAGTAAGGCCTGTATTAATTATACGATACCTTCTTAAGTATGGGCTGCGTGAAAGGTGTATGAGTCGTTCATTTAAAACATGATATGAGTCCAATTTTCAGAAAGATATTGATAATTTAGATGCTATGTACATCAATTAATCTGGTAGAAATAGTTTTTCTTTTTTTACCAAAAGTAGACTTGTACTACTCAAAGAAACGGCTCATACGTATTCGTATTCTCTGATTGTCCGAGAGAGTATTTATTGTATTTATATATTTCTAGTCATTACGTGTATAACAGTTACCTATCATACAACAATTTGATCGAAAGCGATTTTGTAAAAAAAGAAAAAGAACAAACCTTGTATGCACAGTGAAGTGTATTTATTGTGAAAAGCTCAAACGAAAAAGTAGCAGCTTACATATGTTTAAAAATATTCTCCTATAATTCATGCACAATCAGAGGGTGACGGTTTGAAAAGTAACAAATAAAAACAAAGAGTATGGTTCGGCACACACAAAAATCGTGTGAAAAAAATAAAAAAGAATATCTATCCTACTTACAACATGAGCAAGTTGTGCCTGTAGGCGATACTGTTTATCAGAAGCAAGCTGCGACGTGCACCCATACTGCCAACATGAACATATAACCAAAACACATAAATACCATAAGGTCTATAGAAAAATAACGTAACAGAGTAATCATTCAAAAAGTAACTCTATATCCGGACTGAGGGGATATATATAAAATATGTCGATAGCGAATAAGGGGTGAAAAAAAGTGATAACCCTGATGAAAATATTTTACTGAAAATCTCTTTGAATTGGCCCGTTTTCATTAAGATTTCCTACGTTCATAAAATTCATTAAAATTTATTAAGATTCTTTTCAAGATTAAAATTCATTAAAAATCATTAAAATTTGTAAAATTTATTTTATTATTATATAACAAAATTAATTTTATGAATTTTAATAAATATTAATGAATTTTATTTGATCTGAATAAATTTTTCTGAATTTTAATAAATTTCAATGAACTTTAATGAATTTTAATTAATCTTATAGAATCTCAATGAATTTTAATGAAATGAGGTCAATTGAGAGAGAGATTTTTTCTGTAAATATTTCCAAATAAATATTCCTAAATAAAATATTTCCATCGGGGAAGAGACGTCTTGTTATATAAATAATCGTCATGTGTTTCGAGAACGTTAACTTGGTTGTATACAAGGTTCTAGCTTATATCAAAGTGGCTTGTATTGAATATGCGGTAACTTCATGCATTGACAGAACCATGAGGTAAGTAGAAATATCTTCGAAATCCATTAACACACGCGACGGGCCTCTTACATACCTAGATTTGGCAATAGTACGTTTCAATTCGCGTTGTAATCTCTGAACTTCGTGCTCTGCTTTATGATACAATGCGGTCGTATGCCTATGCTCCGCCTCGGAGAGAGCTCTCTCGTGCTCCGACTCGTTGACTCGCGATGTAGCATGATTCAACATTTCCTATGAGACGTTTCGTCACGTAACGCTCGTGTATAACTTTAGGTAACAATAAGACCTAACATCGACGGTTTTTACCTGCCAAGCATGATCAAAGCATCTTCCTTCGGTTCGTAACCCTTCCTCTGCTAGGTATACCATTTCTTTAGCCGCTGCATGTTGACTGTTGGCTCTCTCGAATCTGACTGCAGCTTTTTGCGTTTCCTGTAGTGCCTGCGATGAGCGGCAATCTCAAAGTTATTTCCAGTTTCAGCCAAAAGTATCACCAGAATTAATAATTACGAATAACTTGAAAGTGTAGGCTCTATTTTGCTCAGGAACAGTAAAACAAGAATTAGGAAGTGAGAGCCAATTCTTATGTTGTACTGAATAAACTGTGCTTTGGCTCTCATTGCCTATATCTTGTTTTACTGCTTATGAGCAAGATGATCAAGTCGTTAAAAAAAGACTCACTTCTTTCGCCTTAAACCTAGCATCGTAATATGGTCTGGACTTTTCGATGCAAGCTCCAAGTTTCTTAGCTAAAGTGTCAATCTTGATTGTTGATTCGCACAGTAATTCCCTGAAAGTCGCCCTTGCCTCCTAAAGATGACAGAAAATGATTGGTATATTAACTTCCTCTCTTAAATGGAAGGAAATGTGTAACGCAAAGCTGTAATTCCTTATAAATTGCAGTCTCAAGTTCTAAATTATTTCTTCAGTTGAGGCTGTTGTGGACTGTTGTTAAGATCATCTTCTCAAGTCATTATCCATTTGCATGTATCTCACACAGCAATCGTCTCAATAAAATCTAATCGCATTCAGACTCAAAACTTGCCAGCAATTTTGTTCCTCTAACATCACGCACTCATATATCACAATACAGAATCTAGACCAGGCTTCTGGTCAGTCATTGCAAGGTCAGGCTTAGCGGAACAAGTTACTCACATCTAAGTCAACTTCTAGTTTGTTAATGTCGTCAGTAGCTGTATTCAATCTTTCAAGTTCAATCTGAAACAACAGTGAGCATATTATTTACTAAATAACACATCAATTGTTGGGATTATACACAGCAGCTGCTCTTTAATTTAATAAACAGCACGTTACATATACCTCTCAGAGATATAAATAATACAAAATTATTTGCCTACACCCTCTAGTCGAATTTTCTACTAAATTTCTATGAGATGAACTTGTGCTGGACACCAAGTTACCGGGCAACGAGGGTAATTTGGTACGCGCTGTCGTGGTAATGGGTACTCGGTCGCACGAGTGGGAGGGTGGAGGAGTACAAGGGGGGGAGGGGAAATAAGAAACGGGGACGTTTTATGACTCGTGTATGGGCGGAGGAGCGAGAAGAAGGGGGAAATGGGAACGTTTAGCAACGTGGAAAAATGGAGCAAGCATTGCACCGAAATCCACGGGATACTCGTGGGAACGCGTCGCGCATTCCTCCCCGATCCGTGTCCGCACACGATTAATCCTCGCGACGGCGAAATGTCAATATCGCGAAACGCCGTTGTTTGCGCGAGGTTCGCGTCTCGTCAGGGCGATGCACAATCGCAGCGTTTCTCACCTGCACTCGCGGGTCCACTGCATCGTCGACACGATCGGAATCATCGACACTCTCTTTCTGCACACGTCCACTCATAATTAAATCTAGAGGGTGGATTTTATTTACAGCTCTTCATGCCACCTGTGTGTATCGTCTGCTACATATCAGGTGGCCATGTTGGATGTCAAGGCATCTATAGTGCCAGCAGCGGCGAGCAGGAGCGTCGTCACGCTCGGCTCGGGGGGGCCTCAATATCCCCGTGCACTTTTTTCTCTCTCGCGCGAGAATGTTATCCGCGAGGTCGCCTGATAATGGAATAGAAACGCGGTTTCGTAGCGAAGACCGAAGATCGAGTCTCAGTCAATTGTGCCGTTTTCAATTCTCTTTGTCCCCTCTTTAAAAATAAACAGAATTCCAAGCGGATACTTGCGCGGATACATTTTTTTCATAGATATTAAGCAATTTGCGGTTCAACTGTCGTCTCAATCGCGTCTTCGTGTCTTGGAACAAATTTCGTTCGTTAACTCTTCTATCTAGGAATACACTTTGAGAGTATTCAGACGAGACTTTGTCATTTATTTTCAGCAAGCCGTATTCCCTATCAGTCTACTGACATCGACTAAAATCCTCTGTCTAGACGCTCGCGGTCGCCGAGGCTGGTTTGAACTTTCCCGCCGCGCGGCGGTAGACGCCACCGTCGCCTCAAGATGGCGGAGATGCGGCAGCGCGTCGTCGGGTGGCGTTGTGCGCGCCAAGCCCGCTTGAACTCTCAAACGTACTTTTACGTTCGCACTGGTTAGTCGTGTGTCGCCGGAGCAGGTGGATTACGTTCTTCTGGGGAAAGCGGCGGCCCGTGCAGAAACGTCAATCACCGGGCAGCATAATAATCGGCCGGTGAGTGAAAACGCCACATTACGCGCTCTGCGTCGCACTTTCGAGCTCGCTCCGGAAACTAAACAGAAGGAAGAAGTCAGCCGAATTTTCCCTCGAACACCGCCTCTGGGCGCGCGCGCGCGACCCGCGAACGAGATGGAAAAGATCTTTCTGGACACACCATACGCGCGCGCACAGCTTGAACTTTCTATTTCGGCATTTTTACGAAGGAGCGAGCGAGCGAGCGAGCGATAGAAGGACGCGACTAACGCGGAGGCGGCACGCAAAGGTCGCACAAATCGCGCGTTGCGAGCCGCCTGTCGTCGTCGCAGGATGCCTCGCCGCGGAAGGATAACGCGTACACGTGTACGCGCGCGTGTGTACGCGTGTGTTCGTGTGTCCTCGCTCGCGAACGACGACCGGTCGCTCGGGTGTCACACACTCGCTTCGTTCGTTCGATGACATCGAGACCAATTCGCCTTTATCGCGCTTATTTACCTCCTCGACTCCGTGGAACCGAGACCGTCGCGATATCTCGCGCGTACAGGAAGTTCCCGATTTTCCGGTCGCCCAGTCGCTGCGGCGCGCACACACACTTTGGTCCCGGAGATTTCCATTCCGCACACGCTTGATTTATTTGTCGTGCGTTTGTACACTCGGGAGACCGTTGTGTTTACGTGCGCCGTGTGCTCTCTCGTGCACGTTTTGGCGCGCGCAAGCGCGCCTCGAACAATTCGACTGATAGTCGTTTAGAAAGTCGCGAGAGGAGACACGATCGGAGCGGGACGACGATCGTCTCCCGGCCGACGACCGGTCGGGACGAAGGGCCGGATTAATTGTAAACAATGCGAGTGACCTCGCGCGAAACGGCTCGTATTTCTCGGCGCAGCGCGCGCCGCGAATTGACTCAAGGACTCGCGTCGCGAAAACGCACCGCGCGCTCGCGAGTACACCCACCTTCAAATGTCAGAAGTACTTTTACCGCGGGACTTGCTCGCCGCTCACGAGCGAGCAAGAGAGTGACCGAGCGAGCGAGCCAACGTTCGTTCGTTCGTTCATTCGTTCGTTCGTTCGTTCGTTCGTTTTTCCCTCCTTTGACCGAAACGGGATTTTCGCGAGTTTCACGATGCGCGATCGTCGACCACGCTCGTAAACATGTTTAGTCGGTCCGCTGAGCAGTTCTCGTCGGATGTTACTTCGAGCGATTAGATTAGAAAGCTCGCGTCGCCGCTTTGCGTATTTGGTGTTGTTTCTCATGTGTGCCGAGTGTCGGAAGAATTAACATTTCGTCCTGCGAACACACGCTCGCTTCTTCCTTCTGTGCGCGAATCGTTCTCCTCGCCATACACATTTTTTTTACGCGGAGAGAATTTATATGTATGTGCATATTTTTTTCGTAAAAATCTTCTTTTCAATTTTTCAATCCTTTTAGTAGTCCAAGGATAGGCTGTCAGTAAGGATTATCGTGCTACGGAATATAGCAAATTTCAGTAAAAGTATAGCAAATGTTTTAAGGCCCCTCACATTGTTTATCTCTTTTTAATAACGTCAGAAGCGAGAAAATGCATGCTGAAAATTCTTGCGAAATACAAATATATATCCATAAAGTAACATTTGCAATCGATTAAACAAATTTGTAAGATATTCCGTGCACTTTCCTTTTGCTCTAACAGTCAATAATTTGTCGTAAAGTAACATGTCAATAATTTGTCGTAAAGTAACATGACATATAATTCATCTTCTTAACCTATTTTTTTTGTCTATTTTTATTCAGATTAATTTACAATTATTGATTGTTAGAGCAAAAAGGGAGTCCACAAATTTATTTAATTGATTGCAAGTGTTACTTTATGGATATATACTTTTATTTCAATGTATTTCGCAAGAATTTTTAGCATACATTTTCTCACTTCTGACGTCATTAAAGAGATAAACAATACGAGGGTTACAAACCTGAAATCGAGTAAATTTAAATAAAGAGAATTTTGATTTAAGATTCTTGGCCTCTCGCATCGTCTATCTCTTTTTAATGACGTCAGAAACAAAAAGTTCATGCTAAAAATTCTTGCGAAATACGTTGAAATAAAAATATATATCCATAAAGTAACATTTGCAATCGATTAAACAAATTTGTAAGATATTCCGTGCACTTTCCTTTTGCTCTAACAGTCAATAATTTGTCGTAAAGTAACATGTCAATAATTTGTCGTAAAGTAACATGACATATAATTCATCTTCTTAACCTATTTTTTTTGTCTATTTTTATTCAGATTAATTTACAATTATTGATTGTTAGAGCAAAAAGGGAGTCCACAAATTTATTTAATTGATTGCAAGTGTTACTTTATGGATATATACTTTTATTTCAATGTATTTCGCAAGAATTTTTAGCATACATTTTCTCACTTCTGACGTCATTAAAGAGATAAACAATACGAGGGTTACAAACCTGAAATCGAGTAAATTTAAATAAAGAGAATTTTGATTTAAGATTCTTGGCCTCTCGCATCGTCTATCTCTTTTTAATGACGTCAGAAACAAAAAGTTCATGCTAAAAATTCTTGCGAAATACGTTGAAATAAAAATATATATCCATAAAGTAACATTTGCAATCGATTAAACAAATTTGTAAGATATTCCGTGCACTTTCCTTTTGCTCTAACAGTCAATAATTTGTCGTAAAGTAATGTGTCATGTAATTTATCTTCTTAACCTATTTCTTCGCTTATTTCTATTCATGCTAATTTACAACAAATTATTGATCGTTAGAGCAAAAGGGAAGTACTCGGAATCTTACAAATTTGTTAAATGATTGCAAGCGTTACTTTATGCATATATATTTTTATTTCGACTCATTTTGCAAGAATTTTTAGCATGCATTTTCTCGCTTCTGACGTCATTAAAAAGAGATAGACAATGCGAGGAGCCAGGAGCCTTAACAGCACATTTCATTTCCTGAAATATCTTAGTAGCACGCATGAAATGAAAGGATAGAGTGTATTGCAGAATTATTTTTTAGTTACAAAGTTCTGTAGTAATTTTTACCATAAAATTTCCTGTCCATGTAGGATGTACTACATAATATACGCGCATAACACACGCATACACGTGTATGCGCGCGAATAATATGTATAATTAATCTCGCTCATCAACAATGTGTCGTAATTCCCGCCGTTTCTCCGTTTCAAAATTCTTGTGAAATTTCCCGCAGCGAGACGTCACTCGCGCGAGGAAACGCAAGGTCACGGAAGACACCGTAAATTCTTGCATTCTTCATAAACGGATCCGCAACGACAGTAACGGAATTCCGCGGATTACGGTATCCGAGCGTGTCGTGCGGGCCGCCGAGCTAATCAGCGTCGCGCGATCAGAGTCCTACGACGACGTGCGTCGATTGATTGAGCCGGGCCGTTGGCTTTCAATTAGCCGCGGGATTAATCCGTCCACCCAGTGTGTGGAAACGCGTAACACTCGCATGTCGACCTGGGCGGCTGCGTTCGTTCGCGCGTGTGCGTGAACTGGTCGCAGGTACGCGAGAGTCCGTCGCTGACAAAAGCGACCGGTTTAATGGCTAAGCGAATCGGCTTTTAAAGAGTCACCCGGTGCACACGCAGCGGAAGACGCATTGACGTGAGCGAGAGAGACATGAGATAGAGAAAGAGAGAGAGAGAGAGAGAGGAGCAGCCGGTGCGTGGCTTGCAGACTCGAACCTGCCATTCCGACAGGACTTGATGGCATCACGTCACGACAACTATGTCTGCGAATCCCCACGCCGTTCTCTTAACCGTGTATCTTTACGTGTCTTATCACTTTTCTCAAATAATCCGCGCGTGACCGCTCTTAATTTGACGCGGCCGTGTTGAACGAGCGATGTCACGACGCTCGTCTCATCGGGAGAACAAGTTGACAGTGACGATATAAAATAAGTCCAGGCCCATAATAAGTGTGGGGTGAAACAATTATGGACGCCCACTTATTGATCCTCCATATGCATGTTT